TGCACCGAGCACATTCGTTTCCCTCACGTAGTATAAGCGATTGCATAGATTTCTAATTATTAAAATGTGTAAAGAAAAACGTAGGGGTGGCGAAAGATGCTGCAGATAGGAAGAAGTGGAGGCAGTTGACTAAATGAGCGAAGCCTGAGTCGGCGTGGTATCAACGCTAGGAAGACGAAGAACACGAAGAAGGCAAAGGAGACGAAGAAGACGAAGACTCGCTACCAAATAACGAATGAAAAGGCAGAAAAGTAAAAGATGCTCCCGAAAGGACATCCTTTTCTAGCTATCATGGTCTGTATAAACCCGATTAAGAAAAGGAAACACAACTACAGAGGAAAAATACAAAAATCTTCGGGTAAGTTAACAAATGAATAGTCATTGAAGAAAAACAGATACCTTCCAATTTTGTTTCATTTTGCTTTGAGATTTAAGCACATTCTATGGAATCAGATTCGCTGCAATCCCAATACGAAGGCTGAGAAAGGATATTCTATTATATACAAGTGGCGCTTTCTATGTGATACAAGTGAATTCTTGCAATGGTAGTCATTTCTACACGACGAACATGCTGCTCCAGACAACTTGTACCAAACTCGGATCCGATTTCGGGAGAAAAAAATCTAAAGAATCAGTTTGCATCGCTTATAAGATGAACTGGTGATAGTGAATAATTTCGCTCGCATAGAAGGATACGCTACCCAACGTCCAAGTATGAGCCCATTCTCCGGTAACGTACCCATCCCAGAGAACCTCGAAACTATGAATGGAAACGCGCGAAAATAAAAAAAAATATTCAGTGGAAAAACCCCGTCCAACTGGTTATTCAGCCGGTATGAAAAGAAGAAAGAAATTAAAAGGCTAAGAATAGAGAGTGAAAAAGAAAAGAATAAAATAAGATCAAAGGTTACAAAAATTAAACAACCTTGAAAGAGATTCAGTTCTGAGAGCTCTTCAAGTGTTAAGTAGCACATCTGGGCGTGGAACCTTGCGGGAATATTTGAGTAAAACCAAACCAAAGGGAACATTTATTCATGCATAAAAACAAAAATGATGTGGAAGATGGTAGATAAGAACATCACTGGATGAGAAATACACAATGGTGACATCACTTGATTCACAATTACCAATTCATTTCAATTCAATCAAAATATGTGGTCACCTAACACCCGATTTCATAATGATGAAAGGCCTATGACAGCTACCCGAGAAGGAGTTACGTATATTTTAGCAACTATTACATACATATAGTAACTACAGTAATCAATGATAATGTATAGTGCTAAATATACAACAGAATAATTCTACCGGATGTCCTCTGCTGGCTGTGCAAGGCGCCAAAATTCAATATATTCGATGATCGACTATCGATGGATCACGATTTCTCTGACGAATCGAAATCTTCGTTTTCATTGTCTTCTTTCATTTCCATATTGGGCGTGACCGGAGTCACCGGTGTTGCAGCTTCAGGAATCGGTGGTAAGCCTGAAACAGAGATTTCTGAGAAAATTATCCAAATTCTGAAGTCGCTGTGGTTGAAAAGCCACGATTTCCCTTTGAGAGCAAAGTATGCACTACCACAGTAGTCCAATTTTGGGCCAACTACAATATTTACTAAGCGTAGCGAGAAGAATGCGACTATTTACTAGTTATGGTCAACAAAATGTAAATTTTACATTTACATGTAAAACAAACATATAGAGGACGTAGTTCAAAGAACGTTGTGTTCAAAGATGCCCCCTACAAAAGAGCAAAGTCGGGCCGGTCTGGGGCCCTGCCCTCTGCCCTTATCTTGTTCTCCACTTCACCCCTATCGGTCTTATCGTCTTTGTGGCGTCTTCGTAACCCTCGCAGAGCAAGCCACAAAGTGAACTCACATATCTCTCCTCCCAGGTCCCTAGATTCTGTTAGCGAGCCCTGTGTGATGTCTGGCCTGCGGGTGAAATAACGGCTTATCATAAGAGCATTACCCGGTTTGCGCACGCAAGGATTATTTATGCACATAAGCAAATTCCATGCCGACTTTTTTGTTGTCTCCTCTCAACGTTGATAGTAAACACCGATTGAAAACCCAAAATGAGTTGGGTACAACCGTCCCCATACAGATAGCTTGAGATCATTGGTTAGTGACAGTAGTTATTTACTGATACACACTGATACTGGTATAATAACGATGAAGAATGAAGAAAAGGAAAAAAAGAAGGAGAAAACATAAAGCAAAGAGACATTCTAAGCAGCTTAGTAGAAGTGCAAAGGAGCCTACCTAAACTTTCTTCTTGGAGCTTTGGACTAAGCTGTTGAGAGCCGAAGTTCGGACGTCGAATACAGGGATCAGAGAGGCCGCGTGCCAATCGCTTCGTTGCACAGTGCCTAGAACAGGAGGCTCATTCGAGTTGTTAGTCGGGAAGCTACCAGTCATGCACGCTTCCAAGGCGTTTTGCTCATCATTCCCTCACAACGACATGAAGAAAAAATCAGAAAAAAATAGGTCGATAGGTTCAAAAATGCACAAGAATCCGAGATTATCGGGAGGTGATGGTTCTTAACAGTGGCTCCTTGCTTTTACGGTGGAGTAGGCAAACCTCCTATAGTGCAAAGTATAGTTAGAGACAGGATCCATCGAAACCGTCGAAGGGATCTGCATCGAAACGCCCCTAGGGAATGTGGTTCGACAAGTGAAAACGTCCAACACAGAAAAAGTAACTTCTTATTCAATTAGTTTGCCACGACAGTGGATTCACAAAACTATCACAACCTCAAGTCGTGAGGGGGCCCTATGGCTCCGATCTTTCCGTAGGGTCTCCCAAACATACTCGCTACCATAGCACAACTCCTACTTTCGATTTTTATCACCGATTACTGAGCATTCCTGGGCTTCGTTTTTACCACATTCAAAAGCCGGTTGAGGGATGTATGTTCATTTGAGCTTATCATTGTTCTTGCACACTTCCCTTCCTCGGAGCTATTTTGAAATGATGTGAGCCTCTAGAATGGTGCTTCTCCTGTATGTGAATGTGGTACTAGTCTAAGCACATTTATGTATTCGAGCACGATCACTGCCCTGAATACAGGGGTTGCCAATCGTGTGTAGCTTTGCTATTGCTCACTTTCGCTTGAGCTGGTTTTTTCAAAGTACTGACAACATAAACTGAAAGGGCACAGAACAAATAAACACGAAAGAGGTCTTCATTACAGCNTGAGCATTCTTGGACTTCATTTTTACCACATTCAAAAGCCGGTTGAGGGATGTTTGTTCATCTGAGCTTATCGCTGTTCTTACACACTTCCCTTCCTCTCCTTCAAAGCTATTTTGAAATGATGTGAGCCTCTAGAATGGTGCTTCTCCTGTATGTGAATGTGGTACTAGTCTAAGCACATTTATGTATTCGAGCACGAACTCTGCCCTGAATACAAGGGTTGCCAATCGTGTATAGCTTTGCTATTGCTCACTTTCGCTTGAGCTGGTTTTTTCAAAGTCTGACAACATAAACTGAAAGGGCACAGAACAAATAAACACGAAAGAGGTCTTCATTACAGCAAGAGCTTGGACGTCACATTATGTCTGATTATTCAGCTTACAGACGTAGGTGGGCAGTGCTAAGTGGTACAGCTAGGAGTGCCAAGGGGATCTAATCTCGGGCCTGCTCAAATCGACCAATCCTTCCATCGGTATGGGAAATGGTGCCAGAATAGATCGAAAAGATTTGAGTCTTGACAAGTACATCGTCTCAATAGCACATCCCTAGAGTATTTCAAATCGTTCCTAGACTAACTTGTAACACTTAGTTTCCACTAACCTTGCTGTTATTGGACTACTAAGAGATGATGAGCGTCTTTGCAGAAACGGAGACTCAACGAGTGCGAACGGAGAGCGCACGGAAGACTGTGGTGACGGAACCTAGAAAAAAAGTATGAACGAAATTATTTCCTTGAACGCCTGTCAGACACATTTGGATTGTGATTCTCAAGCCATAATGAGGGCAACACATTGGAATGTGAGCATGGAAAGTGTACAATTTCCGTGAAATATAGGATTTGGCTGGACCAAGAGGATCATTTAACAGAATGCCAGCAACTAGACAGGGTTCATTAAAAGTTTCTGTGAATATCCTTGGAGTGCCACTGTTGCACAGCAGTAATTGGAGCCATTACGGGCTGCATATTAGTTAATTCAATATGCAAAATAACGGGCTTCATTACTGGGCATTTTCAGAAAGAGGAGACAAGTCTAATACCGTACCCCCAGAGAAAAATATTTTTGAGAAAATTGTTAGAATTTTGCAAATTTCGCGGTACGTTTGCACAACGTATGAACTTCAGTTCAGTCTTATCTATACAGCTTTGAGTACCTCATGGATCCGAGCATATGACGAACAAATCTTACACCTGAGCGCGTGGTAAGCCATTTGTTGCGCCGTTCGCTAACAAAAAGCTCCAGAGGAACACCTACTGCCGCTTGCCCCTCTCCCCCGGTATGGGACTTTACAACACAACAACAGCGGCATATACAACTTCTCTTCCGATCTTCCTAACGAATCCGATGACATCTCAATATGCCTAATCAGTCGACCTCAATTTGTGTATTTATGTGGGAACTTGTTCTTTATGAATGGAAGATGCGAATCTATAACCCGACAAGCGATTAAGCATTGCACCTCACAGAACAGCACTGGAAGGTTTGAGTTAATCTTTAAAAAGCAAAAATTACTAAAAATCACATAGAACTTAGAGCACGCACTATTTTTTCGTTTAATCCGAGGATAACACCTTCCCCTCCCCCAAATCCTACATCATTAATCAACCGCTGCGCGACCGCACGCTTAATACACAGATTTTAAGACTTTCATGAACCATACAAACCTGCGACTCATCCTCTTCTTCAGATTCGGTGATTTCCTGCACAGATCGTGCAAGTGCACGAATCTTTTCGTTTCGGCGCATTGTCGGTGATGGAAGAGTTTCGCAGAATTTTGTCAACGTTGGGCACGCCGTCACATGAAAACGACTAGCTGTCGTCATCTGAAATTCGCTATATGAAGAATGAATCTTCAGAATTCTCGACACAACATCGTCGAAGACGTAAAAAGATACAATTTGCGACCAATCGAATTCTTTGCGGTAAGCAAAAAAGGTGAAAGCGAGGGTTCATCTCAGATAGCGCCAGTACCGCTATAGAAAGCATGCAATTCATGAAATATCAGCGCGCACATCGCTAAGCGATTGTGGATAGCCGTCTAGGAACTGTGCAGAAGAAGTATAAACTGTTAATTTGAACATCTGTCGCAACTGCTAGCAACCGGCATTACACGACAGACAAAGAGGTGGACGTGCCGTTCGCGTTGGACTCAGCCCACGTGATTTACCTAGTTTTTGCTATGCATGGCTAATTAAATTAATTGTGGGCGAAGTGGCAAAGGGTGAGAGGAAACAGGACATTGATCACAAGGTGGGAAGGAACAAACACTGAGCTAACTTTTACACCCCCATAAAACTTCTACAGAGGAACTTCGCAGGTGGGATTGAACAAATAACAAAACAAACCCTTCCACAATGTTGAGGTTTTTCTTTTTTTCTTCGTTGAAAGCGTCTTAGTGAGCAAAGTCTTCGGGCTTAAAAAAGTCGTTCACGGGGAGTTCAGTAGGAGAGTGCAGACGGTACTCTGACCCATCTATCAATAAAAAAATCAAGATATGGGGGTAAAAACGAGAAAGCAACACAATTTTAGAGGACTGGATTCAGATTTTTGTCAGAAATTTGTGTTACCATGACCGCTACGGACTGTTGCGTACTGGCACAGCATTGAGGTTTCCACGACAGATCTCTCCGAGAAGCTGCCGCTCCCAGTAACACAATTGTGTATGGTTTACTTTTCAACTTATCTAACCCTCTACCCAGCTGTTTTGCTTAATCCATTTTTCTCTCGAGACGAACTCTATGAAATCCTTCGAACAAATACAGAGCTGCTTGCCACATTTGATAAATATCATATTGCGACAGACATCCCCGTGACATACACATGTGATGGAAGGAAAACATGCAAAGAAAAAGAATTATGCGGTGAAACAGAAGCAGCATAAATTATTTTACAAAGGCATAGTTAAAAGTAAAAGATGGTCCTACCAAGAAAACCGCATAGGTGAAAATGCTTCGCTAATGACCATGGCAACGAGGAATAGGGGTGGGAAGCTATCATCGAGGGAATCCATGAGCTTAACACGACAGCAATGACGCACACCGATGACATCTGATAAGAACAGCAGCCCCGATTGTGTGCGTGAGGTTAGCACTGAGGCAAAAGTGAAGCTCATAAAACAGGAGCAACACCAAACATCAGTTATTCTTATTCAAAATGCACTCTATAAATGTCCATCTACGAGACGTGAATGACAACTTCTTCGAGAGCACGAAACAAAGAGTGCTGTGGGAAAACGAAGAAAAAGAGAAGGACAGCACTCAGAAGCTTTTCAAAAGGAAATGACGTGAGCGCCAAAATGTTGTGCCATTAATTCCGCCGATGGAAATGAACAGGAGCTGATAAAAAGCGAACTGCGACGGGATGACGTGAGGTCGCATATGCCCGGCACAGAATCGGGAGAACTCATTGAAAGCGCGAAAATAGAAACGAATGGGAAGACCATGATGGGGAGTGGGGGTTTTTGGAAAATGAGGAGGCAGATCACATACATGGAGGGGAAGAAAGGTGGAGGAAAAATTAAAGAGAATGAAGCAGACAATAATCCATTGCTCGCTGTGAGGAGGGATTTTTGGAGACTGGGGAAGGGAGGGGGGTCTACGCGAAATTTCTAGGCAAGTTCACTATTACGAGCAATGTAACAAAAGATTGCGAGCAAAAAAAATGCTTCAGAATACTTTTAGGTCAGTAATTCACAAATAGGATAAAAAGTACAGACGCCTGTGTCACACTACTTAAGCCCTTGTTAAAATTGTCCTCAGAATCTCCTTACGAGATGGGTTCTCCATAGGTTCAGTGCAAGCGCATTAGCATAAGTGCGAAAAGAGTCCGCACTGATTGAGGAACCTGTTATCAGCCTTTTTTTCTTCTGATTTTCTGACCTTTTGATCATGAAATCCCTGATCAACGATCCTGATCACAGGCTGTCGTCAGCGATTACGCGTACCGGACGTGACGCGGGGAGATCTCTGTAGGACTACTACGTACGATGACGCAGGGCTTCAGCCAATTGAGCGCCTCGGCCTCGGGCTAGGGATTAGCTAAGGCTTCAGGTTAGAGATCAGGCAGATCTGTTATTGTTTACTCATTTGATTACGTAACACAATTATAAACAGAAATGTTTACTGCTGCCCAAGTCGGAGAGTAATGAGAATATCCAAGCAACGTCAGAGTCCTACTTGTCAAGTGAGCCACTTGCTCTCCTTTCCTAACGTAGAATACTTACTGATTCACTTTCGAGTAAAAACCGTCGTACAACCGTAATCCAACCTTCTTTAGTGTGAGATTCATATAAGACAACAGAGGGACTCTTCCCACTATAGTCTCAGACCCCCTCTTTAAGCAACTACGCCTCTCGCGGGACAAAGCAAATGGAGGAATGACAGGCACTTTTCACAGCACTTTTATGACAACACCTTCTATTTCACCAAAATTGTATTTGCCGCAGAAACTGCGAATCAGTGAAAATACACTTAATTTGGACTAAACGATTTGGGAATGCACTGATAACTTCCGCAACGGCGCATTCCAAAGAATTGACCGAAAGTATTTTATTTTTTCTTCAGAACACCTAGCACCTAGAAGGAGCAGTCAGAGCTGATGCTAACAATGATATCAAACAGATTCCAAAAAATTCCGAGAAACCCGCATTGGGCAAGAGAGGAATTCATTTTGGAAAGAAAAAACTAATTGAATTCGACCAGCCTTCGTCAGATGATGATATCGCTGAAATGTCGCTTCGAATTACATCTCTGGGCGGGAGCTTACATAGAAAATACAAGACCGGATCAAAACGTCATATCCATTTGCTTATTAATTCAGTCCCTCGGAAAAGATAACAAATAATCCCCACCCGTTCATAATCCTCGAGAGCCTACAAAATTTAGCCGAGCAAAAAGTAAAAGTGATGTTTGTCGGAGATGGAGCAGCTGAGGCGAAATTAAATCCAACTGGACGGGGTGAGATTGACTGAGTGAGTGAATGAGTGACATGTCAGACAAAGAAGCCAGATGCCCTGTGGCGGTTTAAAGCCCAGAGTCCTGAGAAAAACCCCCGATTTAAGTAGGAACTTCCCATGAGGATTGCCTCGCAATCACGTCGTATTCAATCATGTTTCTGCAAAAAATTTGCAAGCTTTAGGTAATTGCACAACCTAAAAATAACAACTTGCTTATGATTTATTTGAATTTCGTTCGAATTCATGAGAATACTGCAGCCACATGGGAAGCAGACCCAAAAAAATTGGTGAAGTATACATTTAAGGAAATCGGGGTTCCATCAGTCAGATGGAGATTGCATCAGTTGGTGAAGATGGCGCGCAAGCGAGATATTAGATGCACTCTGTATCAAACGGCGATGGTACCTATTAGCAAGCGTACATCTGAAACGTATTTGAGATAATAAGATCTGACAACGGGCTGATTAACTGTCTTCGACGTTCTTCTTTCTTTCTTGATATGCCTGTGTCAAGCCTAATCTTCCCATAAGCATCACGTTCGTTTCATTCTGTTCTATTCGAACGAACCCGCTGATGTGAAGGGAAAATAAAAACTAACGCAATCAAGTGCGAAAAAGAATCTGAAGACAGATGATCACTCGGGACCTATTGTTAGCACTTTGAAAAAAGAGCTGCGTGCCTTCAAAGTCCCAGGGCAGACACATTTCACAGGAAGGCATCGATACCAGGGCCGCATGGGCAATGTTCTTGTAATAGCGCTCTTAAGATTGGAGCAGAAATTAGAATTCACAGCAGGGTTTCTCATGCGATAGTAGACTTTACAGTGAGTCAGACGACTCCATCACTTGATTTACCCCTGCCCCAGTGAGTCCGGCTACAACAAGCTGATACAGGATAGAAAGAAGGCCTGCTAGACATAAGCCGCTTGAAATCGCAAAGTGCTATGCCAGCGATCCTCACAACCACCGTATCGCCTTCAACCATGTCAATAGAATTATAAAGGGCACACTTTCATCATAACCACCTCTGCCTCTTCATTATGAAAATGACATGCCCAGTGTATTATTCATGAGAGGAAGTCTACTATAATAAGGAGGAAGGAGGAAGTATAAGATAACATGACTGAAGCGAGGTGATTTATTGGGGCTAGTTAGCCTACCATTAGGCGAAGAGCTGCAGTGACGCTCAAATATGAGGGAAGGCAAAGAAAACCAGAACTACTGACAACTGGATTTCAGTGGCAGTATCAAGGGAACGCCATGGCAACTATCATACTCAAGTGCAATTTTTTTATACAGAATTTATGCACTGAAAGTGTGAAAGCACTTAGAATGAGGTGTCGTTGGGCGCGCGCGATAAGAACGACAATCTGAGACGACACAACGTCGTCAGACAGAGACGTCTGACACTGAGACGTCGCTAAATTGAATTCGGAAAGTGCAAAAGAAGCATTTCTCGCCAAACATTCTTTTTGGTTCGACAGTAGCAGGCCAGAAATCGGACACAATGATGAAGCCAAGCTTTGTGTATGTGTCTTTTTTCTTCTTCTGAGAAATNGATTTTAATATCAAGGGACAAAGCCTCCTAACAACAATGGGGAACCAGTGAAAAGTAATAAAGATAGCAAAAGAAAGCAAATCGAAGCATGAGTAAGCGATATTTCTCTCCTGTGGGTTCACTGGGAGTTCCAAAATGATAATGCTCGTTTGATGGTTGCTCTGATTGACGTCAATGCGGCTTTTCTGTAATGTCATTCGGACAACGACTGGCGTCAACTAGTAAAAAAGGAATACCCAGAGCAAACAACCCGTTGTTCCGCTATTGGCGTGAATACTCCCATGAGAACTCCATGTTTCCCTGTGAAACTCT